GGGAATCTTTGGAAGTGCAAGAGGCTTTGGAATATATGATGACGTACTACTGCTTTCAGGTTCTGACAACCCTAGGGTGATTAGCCATTTCAACAGTGACTGATCCCAGTTGTCAGCCCAGAACAGTAAATACAGAGATGTTCAGGGCAACAGTAGTATTAACAAGTAAAATTATTGTGTAATCTGAGCCTGTGAAATGTGAAAATAATATCCAAAGATCATATGTTGTGTAACCTTTCAAAGAACACTTTGTAATCTTTGGCTGGAGTGACATTTTAATGCTCTTTTTTTTTTTTTTAAGTAAATCTGTTGGAAACGTGGGCAAATCACATGAAGCACATGTTTAAGCAGGGTTACCTTCAGAAAAAAAAATGCATGTCCAATAAGCAGTAGATGCAGAAATCTTGGAAGCGGAAAGAAGTTCTCATGATATAGAGCAAGCTTTCAATACTTTTGCAAGAGTTGCATGAGTGTGAGCAACATTTTTAAGCAAGTAGATTTAAACTATTGATTTAAACCTTTTGCGTCTTGGATTCCAATCCCACCAGGGACCCTGTTTGCATGGGTTTTCTCCCATCCAAAGACATACAGGAAGGTTAAAGTGACACTAAATTCAGGAGTTCAAACTTAAAAATGCATTCGAGTACCTGAACTATTCACAAAAATATATCTTACTTGTGTATCTCTCGGCTGTAGATCCTCAAATCGTCTCTGATGACAAGTTCGCTCCCGTGATGGACTACAATCTCACGTTTAGTTTACTAATTTGTAAGCTGTAGATTCTGAAATCATCTCTGAATTTGAAACTGTCCTTGGAGGGTGGCTACTTGTGTGTGTTAAAAAGTAGCCACCGCTCCAAGCTCGCTCCTGCAATGGACTTCAATCTCCATACAAATAAATAAACCAAACGTGATATTGTAGTCCATCACTGGAGCGGTGACTACTTTACAACACACACAGGGACCATAGGGAACAAATGTGGCCCCCCTCCAGAAGGAAGGACAGCAGTGTCAGCACCAATTCAGAGATGATTTGAGGATCTACAGCCGAGTGATACACAAATAAGATACATTTTTGTTAATAGTTCAGGTACTTGAATGCATTTTTAAGATTTAACTCCTTAGTTTAGTGTCACTTTACCTGACGACTTACAACAGTAGGCCCAGAGTTTGTATTTGTGTGCTTGTGTAAATGTAGGTGGGACTTAACGCAGACCTATTCTAAAAATGTAAAGTTGGGCTGTCTAACAGGGGATAATTAATGCAGTTTAATGTGACACAAAATGCAATTCTGATTATCGGCAGCAGAGCAATTTGTCACATCTGGCCGTGCCTTGACATCCTCTGGTCTTTTAGCCTTTAGGGGAGCCTATGAGGATTGTGATAGGCATACCCTGCCCAGTTTGGCTTCTAATGACTAGTGCCATCAGGAGGTAGGATCTAGTAACGGGGACAGTTGTTTCAAAGGAACAGTTGGGGCTTGGCCAAAGAGCAACTGCAGAATGCCTACTGTAGTAATATATCACTCAAAACTGACTTGTCTCCCACTGATTGAAGGATAGGATTCCCTGAGTCTAGGTCCACTTCACAGTTAACCTGTCACATATCTGAGTTTATGCAAAATTTCCCTTAGTGAAAACTGCATATTAAAGCCTTCTCTTGATTCAGACAGCTGAAATGATGCAGATAACTTTTCTGTAATAACCGTAGCTGTCAATCATATTAAAGAACATACAAGGAGACAGAGCCCAAGCCATGCTGGAATTTTACCCAAAAAGTTGAGATTTGTATATAACTTTATCTGCTTTTAGGTACAATCAGATTTTATTGAGATTTTCCATTTACAAAGAATATACATCAAAGAACAAGCATACACAGAAAAACATTGGTCACAAAGAAACAATACAAAAGCACAGAACATAAGGTGGCCGTCCCCTAGGAAGCCTATCGTAGTATACATGGGACGCTGAGAGGCTGACTACACAGTGAAGTTCCCTTGACTTCATCTGCTTTTATCCCTGAATCTACTAATGGCGTTGTCTTTCCCTAAAAACTGTACGCTCAAAACCATCAATAGACTCAAGGATATGCTTGGCATGTTAGGGATAGTACGTTATATTGCCCAGGGATGATTGTACTTTCTCAAGAGCTGCCCATAGAATCCTTAGCTATGACAAAGGTGAAAAATAAGAAAATAAATCCCACTAGTTTCTTTGTTTTTATTATGCATTTTAGAACCTGTAACAACAAAAATAGTTTTTCTTCCCCCCTCCTCTCAGCTTGTTCTGGAGAGTGTGCTTGGTATGCTAATGATATGCCTCTTGTTTTCATAATGGCCGCCCCCTGCTGCATGTCAATACTTACTGGAGAAGAGCTATGGAGAGGGGCCACATCAGCCGTGATTAACACATTGGCCAGCCTGTTCAGAAAGTTAGCTGAGTGGCTTGGCATACTAATTGCCCAAAGTGTGGAAGTTTTTTTTTCTTGCCTGTTGTACAGACTTGAAATATCTTTAACATTCAGGGTGGTAGGGTATGAGAGGATCTGACAGAAAGATTGAGATATAGCCTAAATAAACTTTGTCCACTGGTCATCAAATTCGAGCTCCTGCAATTTTTATAGATGAACATGTTTGGTAGGTAGCTTCTGACTGTTGCTTGGACCAAATAATGGAATGCTTCTGTAGATCTAACGGAAAACATGCAGATAAACTCTGGAGAAAGTAAGAAAAAGGTATGTTGTCCTGTGAGTGAAAAATATCATAGCGGTATATTAGCACACAGATACTCTTTGTGTGATTTGATAATAAGTGACAAACGTATTGTCATACTAAAAAGGGAACTACACTCCAGTAAAGCGCAGCTAGTGATTTAATTTCCAATACTTACCATAAGTAGCATATGCTCTTTTCCTGCAATCCCGCATTGCTACGATAAAAACACCCAAGTAGGGCTGCAGCTAACTATTATTTTCATAATCGATTAGTTACCTGATTATTTTTTCAACTAATCATATGGTTGTATAAAAAAATGTTTGTCTCTCCCTCCTTCCCACCAACTAATCGATGATGAGAATAGTTGCCAATTATTCTCCATCAATTTAGTTGTTGCAGCTCTACACCCAAGTTCCCCTCCAGGTGCCCACATACTCTTAAACAGCAGGGGCCTCCAGGTTTGTTTACAGCCTCAGTACAGACATCTTGTCTGATGCTGCTTGCAGAGTAACTCTCTCTAGACTTGAATGGACCTTACGCATACCATCTTATTTTTTTTTTCTTTAAGTTTTTAATAGTTCATACTGAACTATACTCTTAGAACTGATTTCCTCCCTTCAGACAGCTCGTGTACAAATTTGGAAAGTTTCTGCTAGAGGGTGGAAGTCTGAAACTGCTACTGTTAAGCTGCCTTTAGAAATCCTATAGTGCTCTGTGAATCCAGCATCATGAGTATATTGCGTATTCTATATTATTGTAATAGTTTTTAAAAGATTGAACTTAAATTTTAAAAAATTAGCCCAAACCTTTATTTGCTGCATAATACGTGCTTGTTGGCATCTTGGGCTCCATTTTAATGTGTGAACATTTGTTACTTTTATGAAGTATTTTGGTTTATTAAAGGAGAACTATGAGATGAGTGATTTTCACTCGCCTCATAGTTCTAGCCGACCTGTGACAATGAGACTGTCACAGGTCGGCTCAGTAGATCGGGAGGTGAGCGAACACATACCAGGTTCATTCTAAGGAGAACTATGGGGAAAAACACTGACCCCCATAGTTCTCCTTTTTAAATCTGTTTCACTCCAATACCTATCCTATGCAAACTCAAAAATTGTGTTCAAATGCCGACCGAAAGTTGAACTTCAGGCAGATGTATGGGCAGCACAGTGGTGTAGTGGTTTGCACTTCTGCCTGGTTCAAATCCCAGCCAGGTCTGCAAGGAGTTTGCATGTTCCCCCTGTGCTTGTGTGGGTTTCCTCCCACACTCCAAAGACATGCTGGAAGGTTGATTGGCTCCTGTCTAAAATTGGCCCTGTATGCATGTGAGATGGGGACCTTAGATTGAGGGCAAGGACTGATGTGACTGTGCAGCTATGTCAATTGTCAGCGCTATATAAATACCTGTAATAAATCTATAACCACAAATGAATGCAGCTCTGTATTCATTAATACATCATTACATTTATTTTTTGAAGCAGTGTATGTACTTTGAATTTGATTTGCTATCAGCCTCTTGTAGTTCCTGTACAACTGGGCTTAAGTGAGAGAAGCCGAAAAAGAAGCCAGCTCATGTGCTGGCAAGAAGCATGCTGAAAGCAGGAGAAACCAGAGTGATGGAGAAATGAGCTCATCACTGTGCTGCTTCACCTTCACTATCCAGTCACAGCCTGGGGTTGGGTTCAGGACAACCTGGGTTTAGAGGAAGTAGGTGGAATGATCATGGCAATCAGAAAGGGGTGCAGAAAAATGAACTCTGGGGGGTCGAACCTGAATACTGCAGCATACCCTGGTTAATTTATTTTTTGAGTGCATTCATTTTTATCTTTTTATATTTGGCTGGAGTTCTGATTTAATTTAAAATGCATCATATTTTCCCAGCACATATGTTTGAGTAAGTACTTAAAAAAGCACAAAAGTCATTTGTACCTCAGGAAGTGTGTGAATCCTGTTAGCAAATTCTAATCCATATTCACTGAACTTTTAGCCCCCATTCACAACAAGGCGACTGCGTTTCAGTGCAGATTACACGCCCTGTTTTTCGTGTGCGTTTTTGCACACATTTTCGTGTGTATACTATGTTGCACGTTTTTGTAAGCAGATCTGTGTCCTATTGGTGTAAATGGATAACGTGCAAAATACGTGCAATAAAACGCCATAGTGTGAACAGAGCCTCTTTTTTGCCTTATTATATCGGCTGTAGAATGAATTGTCTTTGCTCCTTGTCTTGTAAACACGATGCATAGCTGCAATCAGTTTGAAGTAATCATTTTTATATCTGTTTATAGGTGAGGCAAAAAATCTGCTGCCGTACCCGGGACCCAACAAAATGAGAGACTGCTTTTGTACTGTGAATCTGGACCAGGAGGAGATCTTTAGGACCAATGTTGTTGAAAAGTCGCTCAAGTAAGAAGTTTTGTCTTCCTTTACCCACGTGGCTTCGAAGCAGAAATTATGCACTACATTATTCTTCAGTACTCGTTAGTCCTCATTCACACTGCAAAGAGACAGCCCACACAGACCCGTGCGGTGTGCACGGCCGTATCGGGCCGCTCCTGGGAAGGACAGGTGCTGCGTGTGATTGTACGCAGTAGCCTGTTCTTCTATGGGTGTACGCGGCCGTACTCTCACCCAAACTGCACATCCAAGTGGGTGTCCGTGCTCGGATCGGATGCAGACAGGATCCATCCTGTTTGCGTACGAGTACATACACCCACACCCGCACGGATGTGCAGCTCGGGTGAGTGTACTGCGTCATACTCCAATGTAGAAGAACAGACTGCTGCGTACAAATCACATGCAGCACCTGTCCTTCCTGGGAGCGGCCCTATACAGCCGTGCACGCCACAGGGATACGTACGGTCCGGCTCTTTGCAGTGTGAATGAGGCCGTCATAGAACTGTTTGCTTTAAATACATTTGCCATCAGTTAATATCAGGAGTCTCTTCCATGTGTGCTGTAACTGGCAATAGGTATCAAAGCTCAACATTGAATCCAGGGGAGGAATGGCATTTGAATGCCTCCCAGCTAGTCTGCAGATCTTCAGCTGGTCCTCTGTGCTGGTTCCAGACAGGGAATGTGGCCACTTACTGGGGCAAGATTATATCTTTAATTCTTTATTTAATCACACATGGCTGGATATTGTTAGAGAAAAAGTCATTCTCTATAATAGCCAATCATCCTTTTGATTCAATTTTGTATATGCAAAGTTATAAAGAACATATGGTTCTTAAAGAAGAACTCTGGGCACAACTTTTATAAGGGGCTACCTCTGCTTTTCACGGTTTAACTGCTCATTTTTGTCTAGGTGCTAAAAAAAGAAGTTATACTCACCCGAACCGCTGAGCTGGCTCCCTGCTTCTCTGCTCTTTGAAGCTTGTCTCCACCTACGATGCAACATTGTAATCTTTCTCAGCATCCTCATGTCTGTACACTGTATAGAACATGATGATTTACGGAACTTTGAACCGTTGCAGAGTAGAGGGAGAGAGCCTGGAAGGACCGCTCTAAGAGCAAGCCAGCTCTGCAGGTCAGGTGAGCATAACTTTTCTTCTTCTTTTTGTTGTTGTTGTTGCACCTAGATGGAAATGAGCAGTTAACCCTTGAGGTGCGGGGGTAGCCCCACTGCAAGGGTTTATAAAAATTTTGCCCATAGTTCTTCAAGTCAAATAGTGGCTTAACTCCCCCGCACCACCCTAAAGCTGAAATACTTACCTTTCAGATGGTACAGGCTTTGTCCAGATCCCACCTGTGTCGTCTTCTTTTCTTCCATCTCTTCACTGTGGCTCTACAGATAAGGCAGGAGAAGTTATTAGCTGTGCTTACATTAACAGCCAGTCAGCACTTCTGACTGACACAGAACTACAGTGAACTGGTAGAATCGAAGATTGTGGCCGGAAGAGCCCAGATGGCACTTACATTGACTAAAGGAAAGTTGTTTTGTATGTGTAAGAAGGGAGTTTGGGGCATGGTAGACCCGTGGACCAGCAGACCTGAAGTATTTACTTGACTTTGGCTCTGTTTTAAACATAGTTTAAAATATTGATTGTATAGGTGCCGAAACTCTCTTTATATTGTCGTTTCTCAACACCTTGCACACCAGCTGTCATCTCTGTCTCTAGCACATTGCACTGTGCAGCCAGTATAATGCAGGAAGCTTACTTACAAGAGGGTAGAACAGAGTTTTGACCGTTCCTGCTTCTCCTTTATTCTTTAGTAAACAGGCAAGGGTTGGGTAGGTGACCAAGTTGTATCACTTGATTCTTTGGGCACGGGGTAACACCTGTTGCATGCGCCTGTTTATCAAAGCGTATTTAAATTGTTGTTAATGTCAGCCATACATGCATCCCTCAAAATTCTTTGAGTTTTTTTTTTTTAAGTCCAGTGAAGGAGCATGTTACAATCCTCTACTCACAACTATTCTGCATTTGTGGACACGCTTGTCTCCCCGCTCTCAACTGTCTTTGTCTGATTGATTAAATGAACTGGCTTAAGAGATTATCAGTGAAAGCATGTCTAAACTCAAAACAAATCATTGTTACCTATTGCTGTTTACCAGTCCTTAGATCAGGTGGCTGCGTTTGTTTTTCTTTTTTCAGGCTTTTTGTCCCCTTTATTCTTACCTGGTAATGCTGCAAATAACACACTTGTTGTCCTTTTATGTGTCTACACTCTTTGTTCCATGGTATCCATAGAGGGAGCCATGGTTGACCTACAGGCAGGACTTCAAACTTGTCTGCCTTTTGTTCATCTCCATTACATGATGGAATTGATATGAGGAGTTTACAAAAGAGAGATAAGAGTTTATGCTTTCTTTTCAGCTCACAGGAAGTGACAAGGATTTCATTTTTGCCAAGATCAGGAGGTATTTTCTGTACTTGCTAGAAATGTTCTCGACCTTTTAAAAAAAGAAAACTAATGCAGCCAACACATCTAAGGACTTGAAAGCTGCAATATATTACATTTTTGCTTTTCTTTGAGATACAATGTAACTGAGATAATCCATATTTAGAGCAAGCTATCTAAAACTATATTATCAGTAAAATGGTGCTGGACAAAACCCAGGAGCCAGGTAGCCTTAAAAATGCCATATGTCCACCCCTGCAGTAAAATGATTATTATGATTATTGCTTGAAATTAGGCTAATTGTTTTTTTTTTTTTTTTAATAAACATTTTTTAAAATCATTATTATTAACAAAGATTTTGCGAACAGGAAATAGAGACAGTCACATAACAATAAATGCTAAACAAAAGAATATGAAGGAATATCATATGGAACATAGGAAACAGTCAATGCAAGCATGAATATAACAACAAACAATTATCAAACGACCACCCAATTGGGGTAAAAGGAAAAGTTTTGCTTAGAATCCTATCAGGGTGTCATGAGCTCCGTCACCCCTAATCAGGGGCCAACAGCATGATGATACACTTTAAAGACAGATCGGCAGCCCTATAGAGGACCTTCGGTTGCTGAATTATAAGTTCTTTTATACCCATGGCAGTGCATGCTTGGAACTATTTTCGTAGCAGCAAGTTGCTCATGCCTTACTATTAAAGTGAGTGCTTCTTTGCGGAATGGCTAATGTTTTCTACATACATTTGCCTAACCTTGAAAAACAGTCTATGCACACAGGAAGCTGTGGGCTTTGAGAAAAAAAAAACATTGACACAAACCACACTGGTGTTCCTTTTTAACAATGAGTTAAACGTATCAGTCTAGTTTCCGTTTCATGCTTGTGAACTTGCCTGGCCTACCATTGATGTCTGAGCATCACTGTTTTCAAGGTATCGCTTGTCAGAACATCTTGTCCACTTTTTTCGAAGATGTGGCTTTAGAATACTGATCAGAAGTTGGCATTTGAATAAACAAAGCCGCTTTTACGTAGGAAACCACAGCAGTTTGACTCTTGTTTTTGCATCATTTCCCCTGCTCACTTCTTCAGTAATGACTATTGCACAAGAGTCATTTCCGGGTGATGTTCTGCTGACGTGGCATCTCTGGTTGACATGGTTCGTTCAGTGACACTTTGTACATTTAGTTTCATTCATGCATCTTCTTTTCCTGGAATTTACCATCTATACAAAAAGTACCTACAAACCTAAGATGACATTCACTCAGTCCATATTGACATATGATGAGGCAGTGGTCATATGTCTGCACATATCCTGACCTCTGTAGACATCCCACAGCTCACCCTTGCCAGGGTATCGATCAGTCAGCCATTTCGGAATCTTCCAGCAGATAGCTGTAAATAAAAGGGAAAAAATTACTGGCTGAGTGTTGGCAACAGCTCATACGTTGAGACACCAGGTATAAAAATTGACATTTTGTGTCTTTTAGTGATCTAACACAAAGAAGTTTATCCATAGTAAGGTCACGGGATCCCTAACATATTAATGACACATAAAAATGTGTGTTGGGAAGTCGGGTGCTTACTGAACCTGTTATCCCACTGGTTGTCAAAGGCCTCAAATTTCTGCCTCCCTTTGTGTTATGCCAGGCCAATACATCTCTACTTGTACCTACTGCACAGCCAATTGGATAAGCATCAGATTTGTCAATCTCAGATATTGTACCATGGCACATTGTGGCGTTCCATGGGTCAGCTAAAAAGAAATGTTGAATGTTAGGGACAGGTAGACTGGCTGATCCACCTGCATCTTTAGAGTTGCAGTCAATGGGAAGCAGATGAATAATGATGGATCTATTTTCATACAGTCTTCAATTCATTTTTGGGACCATTTTTTTTAGTTTTATGTGTTAATCGATAAAATGGCCACTAGAAAAAGAAATAAGCGCAAAATAAAAATGGAGTGAAACTGCAAGCATGGTTTTAAAAGAAAAATTAAAATGGATTAAAGAAAAGCTTACATTGTGAAATGACTTTGGGGTTGTACAGATGTGTCCCCTGCACTCCTTACAGCATTCACAACCTCAGAATAACGGGTGGTGCTCACAGTGATGATCATGTTAAACTTGTGTAGAAGGAAGTTCATCAGCACTTATGAAACAGCGCCACATGTAGCCAACGTTTCGAGGCCACGCAGGGTCCCTTCATCAGGGACTGAAGACAAACCCAAAGAGTGCAAGAATAAAATAAATGTCCATGTGCACATGTTCAAAGACGAGCAAGTTATCTTGTTAAGGCACTGCACCACAATGGAGACTTTACCTATCTACTAGAAGTCTGAGCAGACATTCTCACAGGGCCTTCAAAACTGGAACCAAGAACCTTTTTGTGCTCTGCTTTCATTGTTGTGGTGTGACCTGAGGGTCTGCGCCTCGGGGACTTTGATGTAGCAAACAGGACAGCTATGAGCTTGCTTTGTGTCTGAACTGTGGGAAATTTAGAGAAACGCATTGGGGAAAAGTACTCGATATAACGAAATCTTAATGTTCTGCAATAGCTCTATGAAAGGAAATCTGGTTGTTCAAAAGTAATTATTGGTTGCCAAGTTTGCTAAATCAGGAAAATGTAAAGACCAGTAAACTCCAATTAGTTACTGTACACAGATGGGTTACTAACAATGTTTATGAAAAGTCTAAATACTAGACAGTGCAGGTCCTGGGCCACACAGCTATTTTGAGCTGAAGGCTCATTGGTGTTTATCTGTATTCGTCCATAGGACGTCAGCAGTATGTATGGAAATGGTTCCCTCCACTCTACCGCTTGATTCCTTAACTCTTAAATTCCATATTTTGCTCATTTTGGAATCGCACTAGTGCAACTTGTTATCCCAGAACGAGAACAGACAAGGTTTGGGCTGACTTTCACTATTTTTTTTTTTTGGGTCAAGCCCACAACCAGCCTCGTATAGAAGTGCCTGGTCTTCCACCTCAGATGTACACAGGCACAATCCTATAAAGCTACATCCGTGCCCCCAACTGTTTATATCCTCTGACGTGTCATTCCTGTTCCTGTGACGCAACATTCTCTTTCTTTAAGCCGTGCCCCCTTTCCACCACTATGTCGTGTATGCTGCAGAATGCGGCATCCCTCCTTCAGACATGAAAGGAAAGTTCTGAACTGTGTTTCATATCCACGCGTGATAGGTTGGGATATGGTACAGCAAGTTTTTTTGTAACCCCAAACATTTTTAAAAAAAGCACACCTTTTATGTGATGGAACAGTATGTGTAAAAAAGTAGATGCATTAGGGAAGGTGTGTTGTAGTCCATCCCAAAATGCCATAGCTAAGCAGGTCTGAAGCAGGACTAAAACAAATATGGCTGCCCATGGGTGTTTTTTCAGTCAGCATTAGGTGTATAATTACAGAGACAGACTAGTACACATTTGAACAGTTGTCCTGTCTTCTGTGAACAGGAAGGACAATCATAGACTTTTTATGTGTATAGCTGTGATGCAGTTTTTTCTTTTTTCGACCAACTCTAAAACATTAAAATTGAACTACAAGCATATAGCTAAACACATAGTTGAAATGCAAGTGGGAGCTGGTTTACTTGCTGAAGGATTTATATTCCTGCCCACCCAGTCCTGAGATTTACACAGCTCTAGCGCAAAGCACAGCCCCATTTAGCAGGGTATAAGACTTGTTTTTTCTCTGCTGCAGTTCAATAACACTTTCAGGTCTTGACCTTGCCCCCACCCTGTGACTGGAAAGTGGAAGTCGAAACCGTACACTGGTGAACGCGCCTTCCTGCTACTCTTCTCACTCCTTCTGCCAACATGCTTCTTACACAAATGGTTGGCTCCCTGTGCTGCTTTTTCCTCCCCTAGTCAGAATGCAGAAGGCAGGTAGATGAGGTAAAATTACACTGCTTGCATTTTGAAAAATACATTTAATGATGTATTAATGAATACAGAGCTCCAGTAACTTGTGTACTTCCTAATTAGCTCTGCGCTCCAGGCAGATGTAAAGGGGCTTCCGTGTCAAATCTGCATATGATGCATCAGTCATGTAGCTGCACGAGCAGGGGGCTCACAATGTTTAAGAATATTGGTCCATGGTTTACAGATTCAAAGCACTCTAGGGAAGGAAGTAGATGTCTGAAGGCGCCCATACACTGGTTCGCTGGCATTCTTCAATCAACTGATCGAAGGAGCTGGCTGGAAAATTTTCAATCGATCAGAGCCGGCAGCCAATGAGCTGCCTGCTCTGATGCGGTATTCTGACAGAATACAATGTAAACAGAAGGAATCCTCGATCGACACGCTGTTTGTGTTGGTGGAAAAACTTTTTTTTGTTTAGCCCGTGGGTTGAATGAAAAAAATTGGTAGGTGTATGGCCAGCTTTACTAAGATCTATTTATTGATTTTACTAGCTCCTTTAATTTAAAGGAAACCTGTAATTAGTAGAAGGTAGGCTGCTTTTAACCTCTCCTAAAAATGCTACATCTGTAGCTGTTATGTTGATCCTGTGGTTTCCTTTTTTTGAGTTACAAATACGCAAATTAGGATTTGTGACATTGCTCAGGTTTCACTTGCCACATGCTTGCTCTGAGTTGGTGACTTAAAGCACTAAATCCAGAGGCAGCCAGGTAAGTAGCATCCAAACAAGATCAATATTTACAGAACCCATAGTTCTCTCAGCCCAAGTGTTTTTCAGAACAAATGTCTTGCCTTTTCTTCTAGAGAGAATCACATACAATCTAAATTGCTGGTTTAAGTTTTATATTTATTGTTTAGTATTGTATATTTGTTTTTGTTTTTTTAATTGATTGAATGGAATGTATTTTGTGTATTTGTTTTCACATTTCGTTCCTTTCCCTTTTTCTCTGCAGACCATTTTATGGTGAAGACTTCTACTTTGAAATTCCAAGAGCATTCCAAAATTTATCCTTTTATATCTTTGATAAAAATGTTTTACAACGAGATCTCCGAATAGGTAAGCAGTCAGTGGCAAATGTCTGTCATCTCAAATAAAGTTGGTGCGGAGTTAATGTGACAACAAACTCATTAGTTAAATCTTAAACATGCATTCAAGTACCTTAACTATTAATACAAATGTATCTTATTTGTGTATCACTCGGCTGTAGATCCTCAAATCATCTCTGAATTGGTGCCGACACTGTCCTTCCTTCTGGAGGGGGGCTACTTTTGTTCCCTATGGTCCCTGTGTGTGTTGTAAAGTAGTCACCGCTCCAAGCTCCCTCCTGTGATGGACTACAATCTCATGTCTAGATTACTAATTTGTATTGATTGTAGTCCATCACAGGAGTGAGCTTGCAGCGGTGACTACTTTACAACACACACAGGGACCATGGGGAACAAAAGTAGTCACCCTCCAGAAGGAAGTATAGTGTCAGCACCAATTCAGAGATGATTTGAGGATCTAAAGGTAAGTGATACACAAATAAGATGCCTTTTTCTTAATAGTTAAGGTTCTTGAATACATTTGTAAGATTTAGTTTAGTGTTACTTTAAGGGTACGTATACACAAACGCTTCCCTACAAAGGTGGCATGTTAGTGCTGAATTCTCTTTATTATATGGGGAACAGAACTCAACCAGCAAAGAAAAAAGGAGTCCTCCATATGTATTTTGCATGGCTATTCACATGAAAATGCTCAATAGAAACAAGTAAAAGCGGTTCCTATCTCCTTCTGTTATGTGTTCTTGTCTATGTTGACAAGTACCCTGCGCATGTGGTTTAGTAGAATCTTTGACCTGGTTCCCTTCAACCATTTGCAAACAAACAGGCTTCTGATGAACACATCAGCTTTGAGCATCAGAAAGGAACAGTGGGCATGCTTGCTTAAACCAGTGGTAGGTGGACATCCTGGTGTTGGCATTTGCTGTGTGCCGGTTAGAACATTAAAAACGGAAGCACAGTCACAGAATTGCCTACACCTATTTTAAAGTGAGAAAGAAATGCTTCATCCTGCCTGTAACAGACTGATGTCGTCATCTCAGCCTAGGCAAGGTCTCATCGTTTGGCCCAAGGTTTGCCTTTTCATGATAATGATTTGTTTTATTTTTATTGCCATTGCTGTACATTGTACTGTATCAGTTATTCATTCCTGCAGTCTTGTACATTTACTGAAAGGTCCACTCTAACCTACTGTATCTCTTACTCTGAAAGTCAACTCCTAACCTAATCCCGGATATTTATTTATTCCTGACACTTATTTATTTGGGTAACCTTAAATATAACTTTTTTTCTCAAATTTCTTCCCCGTTCAGGTCCCTTAGCCTAACTGTAATTCTTCTTCAATGAAACTTCAGGTCAATATTGACTATATGTCCTGAAAGTATTGGAGCCCAATCCTAACAATAAAATTGCAGCAAAATGAACCATGGATACAGACCGCGCTATCTTTTACAATTCAGCAGCGTATCTGTTAATGAGGAAGAAGAATGGATTGCGGGTTAAAGCTTTATCCTCTATGACAGACCTGTGCGGTGGCTTTGTGGTGCAGACTTTCATGTCCTTTTCCTGTCAGCAGACTAGGCAGCAGCTGCAAGGAAACTGAATACTCAGTCCATATGACAGATTGGATTTCAGAGATTTTCATGCCATGTGGGACAATTTTGGATAGGAATACTAACAGTAATTCCAAATTGTTGTGATCACATGATAAATTTTGTGAACATTTTTTTCTCTCCAATTTTTTTAAGTTGGATTATTACACTGGGATGAATTTCTGAGAATCGCCTTGTGAAAACCTCTTGAATATGTATATATAAATGTGCTTGCCTGAGTGATCATCCAGGAAAACCCATTTGGGCCATAGACCTCATCTCTGACATCGATTAGGTGGGCAGGTCTGCTGCAGTCTTCAGATTCGCATAAACATCCCGATTATATCCTTATCTGTCAAATTTTGGAGCACTAGGTAGTAATTGGCTAGTGCCTTTATACCAGGGGCAGGCAAACGCCAGCCTGTCGGCTGTGGTGCAACTACAAATCCTATGAGGCATTGTAAGATTCTGACTCCCAGAGGAAGTTGTAGTTTCACCACAGCTGGAGGGCTGGAGTTTGCCTAGCCCCCTCTACACCAATATGCAAGATATAGCAAATGTATGTGGACACCCCTCTAAATTACTGCATTCATGTGTTTCCAGTCAAGGTACTGTTAATGCTACAGCTTACAAAGTCATTTTAGACAAATATGCGCTTGAGACAACGTGAGGAAGGCCCTTTTTTGTTCCCAGCATGTATGTGCCCCAGTGCACAAAGCCAGTTTCATAAAGACATGGTAAATGAGTTTGGTGTTGACAAATTAAGTGGTCTGCACAGAGCCCTTAACTGACCCCTATTAAACACCTTTTGTGATGAATTGGAATGCTAACTACAAGCCAGGTCCAACATCAGAACCTGATCTAAAAAAAGTTCTTGTGGCTGAATGGGCAAAAATTCTCATAGACATAGTCCAAAATCTTGAGAAAAGCCTTAACAAGGAGGTGGAGGCTGTGATAGCTACAAAGGAGGGTGGTGTGGCGGACCCCAGTACTCAGGATGAGTATGTCCGCCGCTGTATTCTTCCTTGCTCAGGAGATATTGCAACCCGCTGATCTTTAGCTCCCAGTTTCCCCAGTCACTAGTCGAGACTCAAGTGTAGAGTTAAACAACAAACTCTGATTTTATTGAGTAACTACACAAACTTTTATACAGAAAGTGATCATCCTGTCTTCACAACACCACAGGAGTCAACCTGCTAAAGAGCTCCAGACAGCCGTAGCAGGAGCCTGGCCAGAATGCCATTGTCCTGAGTCCTTCAGAGTACAATGGGAGATAACGAGGGGGGATTCTGACAGTCTTTTCATAAACATAACCCAACACATATACACATTTAACTCCTAAACTCATCACCATGTCGTCACAGGTGGGGTGCAATTCTATATCAGTGGCCATGGTTTTTGAATGGGTTGTCCAACAAGCTTATAGAAAAATGATGGTGGGGTGTCCACAAACCTTTTGACCATATAGTGTATATCACCATATTCATTAAACCAGTTCTAATGAAAATCATTGTTTGACACTGTGCCTAGCATGCTACTTCAGTAACCTGGCTTTCTCCACAGGTAAGGTCGCCATTAAAAAAGATGACTTGTTCAGGTACAGCGGTAAAGAGCCCTGGTTTCCACTTCAGCCAATTGATTCCAACTCTGAAGTCCAGGTAATTCTTCTTTTCCACCACAGGTGACTTTGCTTAAATGTAAAATACATGTGCCCTGACCTGCCATAAAACATTTTCTCCCTGCCAATTTTAAAATCCAGACGCCATTATGAAGCCATGTACTGAGCTTGTGGCCATTATTGCTCTTCCAGTTATTTGGCAATTTTATGAAATTGTTTTAAAATTTACCATTTTTTTAACCCTCTAAAATTTATTACCATTTTCTTCCATGTAAACTGCTTATTTTAGTTTCTAGATATAGATAGATTAGATCCATTTTCAACTTTTCGGCTAGTTGTTTCTGACTAAACAAAGGGCCAAAATTAATTGAATTAAATCTCCATGAAGTGTTGTCTTTGCTGCACCTGATTTATTTTTATCCACCAAACTGCAGTAGTATTTTTTTAGCATTAGGCCTGATCACACCGGCTGATCAGGAGAGGATCTGTGCAGGGATCCTCTCCTAATCACAACAGTACGGAGTGGATGTCACTTCTGTGACATCTGTGTCCGTACAGTTTTTTTTTTTTCCCTCCACCTTGCAATGGAGGAAAAAACGGAAACTGCCGGACCGCACGTTGGTCTATGGGGAATCTGATGTAAACAGACACGGTGATGGAATGTCCCTCGGCATCCTGGCATCGTTTACACTGTATAGAACTTGATGACACAGGACCTTAGACTGCTGCAGCGGAGAGGGAGAGAGAGGCTCTAGGCATAGGTGTAGGCATAGACTATAACCCCTTCTCTTTTTTTTTTTATCCTCCAGCAGGAGGATGAGCAGGTAACCCTTGCACTGCAGGAGTATCCCAACCGCAAGGGTTAATAATAATTTTCCCCAGAGTTCTTCTTTAATCTTTTGTTAGGATAGAGTCTTGCACATTTGATTAACAACTGATGAGATCTGCCAGCAGTACAGACATGGTTAATTATGGCAAATACAACTCCCCAGCCCCCTATTAAACATATAGCAAGTGAGAAACATGTAGAATTTTCTAAGTTTTGGACTTTTCAGAAAAAAAAAAAAAGTTAAGCAGCATTTTTTTTGTTTTTCATATTATGCTATGTAAATGGGAACATGCAACAAGTCTGTGTTATGCCAATTTGGCTGCAAAAGTGAAAATACAGTTTAAGCGATGGAAGATTTTGCAGACTTTGCAAGAATATACAGACACCATGAAATACTTTTTAGTAAGCTACAGAATACAAGCAATGATGAGCAATTCTAGAATGAACATGTTTATATTGGAGAGAACTGTCTGAGTACAATAAATCTGACCACACAATAATGACTTGTTATTGCTACTTTGCAAATAATCTTCCAACATACTGTATCTCATAAATTGTCTTTCAAGTTCCCCAAATCATTTTATCACAGCCAAAATGTCATGGCTAGATTTTTCTTTAGTTTCCATCAAGTAAACATGATTTTATCTGTCTTCTCAAAGTATAAGAAAGCATTTAATACTTGTGACTGGGTGTTCTATTCATGGCCTATGTTGGTTATAATATGTTCAGCATTACAACCAAAATGACATCCGCTTCCTCACCAACATGCCCAAGCCTGTCTCTGGTCATAATCTGTCTGCTAAAATACCTTGTACGTGGGTAGAGCTTATTTTCACTATGACCATTTTCAGTACTGTTGTATGACGTGTGGAGTGCTAACAATTATATCAGTTGAAATCTGGAAACTGAAATTGCTATTATCTGGGCAAGCTAAATATTCTGTTGTAGGTCTGTTGAATTTTAAGGGATTTTGGACTTGACTTTTTAAATATATCCTTCATGAGGCATCATTCAACTGTGAGTTTCCTTATATGCTAATGTAAGCGAATACCATCAACATTATGCCTAAAATTTACAAATGTAGAATTTTGGCAAATTTCACTTAGATGGAATGCTCAGGAGATGATGTTCTGTACATTGCTATGGACATATTATTAGGTTAGGAGTCCCCTCCCTCTTTATTTTGTGAAGCACTGTGGAAATTGCAAAAATGTTTTATAAATCTTGTATGATGATGATGATCGTTTTCAGTTTAACATGCAGGAAATTCAACATCCAAAATTCACCTTTTGTGCTTTGGTGAATCCAGTTTTAAAGATTGCACAGCATAATAATTTACAATTTCCTCCAAAAATGTCAGGTGTTAAACATTAGCAATGTCGTCTTTGGCAAATCAAGCAATGTCGTATGTGGTGTCACTTTAGAGGCTACCTTTTCAGCAGTAATAAGTGCCTTTTCAGCTTTGTGTATCAGGTCCTTTTCTATATATACTCATTATCTTAACTAGTCCATTCATTTATAGAACGTTATAGGATTCATTGATCTAATTTTGTATGGTCTTTAACCAATTCAGCTCTTGCCTGTACGCCCTCTTCGGACCAGAACAATTTTTACATTTTTGCTAAGATCCTGTTTATTCAGCAATGACTTTGAAATTTACTTAGGATAACAAGCGGTCTTAGCGGTATTGTGTTGAAAATATTATTTTTCCTATTATGATCAGTGTTAAACTGCCTCTACACTGTTATTTTCTTCGCTCAACCCGCAGGCTGAACGAAGAGAATAAAACAAATTCCTCAATCAGTGATTTACGAGGGTTGATCAAGGAATCCTCAGCTGTCTTCATTGTATTCTGACCGCCGTCAAACAGCTGATTAGCTGCCGGCTCTCTTCGTTTGAAGATTTTCCTACCGACTCCTTCAGTCAGCTGATCGAAGGATGCCGGTCGAAATGGTGCGGACAGCGTGTACACTGTGGAAATTTTGGCTGCTTCATCAAGAACTGGCTGAAATTTACATAGTGTATGACCAGCTTTAGTTAAAGAAAACTGTGCTACTGTAGTAATCATAGTTATTCTATAATTTGTCCTGTTTAAAATGACACTAAAATTGCAATTCTGGTACACTGCATTGGAAAGTTATTTTTGTTTGTTTTTTAATTTTTAGCTTTTTTTTTTATACAGTAAAACGTTTATTGCAGAAAATTGTATTATTAATATTGGTTAGAAAAAATGAATGAAGAAAACGAAGCAGGAAAATAACAGTTAAGGGGGGAAAGTATTTGATTAGGGAAGGGTTAAATAGGAACAAAAAATAAAAAACTCACACTTGTTTGGTTGCTTCACCTGACATCATATGCAGGTCAGAGCTCATCCATTTGATCTGCAGATGAATAAAGCGTACAAAAAGTATCTTCTGAATGATGTTTATAAACACTGTGTCAGATGGTCTATTTTTTGACAGCATCCTCTGTAATTGTTGTATTTACACAGCTACTCCCGGCTGTCAATTCTGACAGCTGAAAATTACCATCAAATGTGAGGGAAGTAGCAGCGGGGAAGGAGGACAGGGCATACTACACATGCCTTATGCACTTTGATTACGTTTTTTTGGCCGTGTAGCACGCCCAAGGTCCAAAACTGGTTAAAGCCAATCTCTGGGCAAGGTGCAGCACCCCTCCCTCCATGCCCCTCTCTAATTCATTCAACACTTTTTTTTTAAAACATCTTGTGGTGTCAGATGTAATGTAATTGATCTGTTCTGGATCCTGAGAGGACCCTGACTCTGTACTGTCAATAGGATGTTTCTTCGTCATGCAGTTGGTGACCTGTACACCCGTAGAGGGTCCCCACCTCTTGTGCGTGCATGAAGAGAGAAGACTTGTACATGAATGTCACGTGTGGAGTTGGGCAAGTTGAAGGGGCCTTTAGGTAGGGGTTCTATGTATTTTTTTATGTCTAGAATTATATAGGAAGGGCAGCCTGGAGTTCATTTAACAAAAATGTAAAATTATTTTTGAACCAAAAAAACAATTCAATATATTTGGCATGCTATTAAAATTTAACAAACCCTGAAATCTTTTTCCATATTTTTGTCTACTTTTCTGCCTATTACAAAAAAATTATAATATTATTCACAGAGTTTTTAAAGCAATTTACCAAATTAAGTGCTTAAAATTGCTGTGAAAATCATTTTGGTATGCAATCTAGTTAAGTTATTGTTGATTAAACCAATCCATACAAAAAAGAATGGTCAGCTCACAATGGTTTACATGACTTCTGGATATAATCAGGACAAAATGAGAAATTGTAGATGCTATAAGGAGTAGTTAAGCAGACTTTGCAGTAAAATGCAAGGTCTGCTTACTCTGCCCGGGCGCCCTCCCCCTCCACAAATCATCTATTATTAGTAGGTGTAAAACATACCTGTAAAGATAAAGGTTTATACTTACCTCAGCCTGCATTTGGCAGGGCTGACGTCATGTTTCTTCTGCAGAGATCCTAGGGATTACAGAGCAGCGAAAATCTCACCAGAAGACACTCTTGTAATGGAATGGAGTGTTTTCAGCTGCTCTGCATTCACCAGAAATCATCTTGGGACAATGGAGATGTCATGCTCAGCAATGCGGAAGACGAGTAAAGGTAAGTATAAGTCTAACTTTTTTCTTTACAGGTACATTTTACACCTAATACACCTACTGCCTAATTATGCGGGAGATCCAAACCTGAGGTTGATTGGAGAACAATGGTAGTTTTCATCAATTTCAAGTTTTGGGGGGTTATTCACAAAAGGGTGAAGAGTTTGGAGAAGGCAGGAGAAGTGAACAATCTAGGATGACAACATAGCGGAACTGGAAATTGAGCTGAATTGTCATGTATTTGACCAATTCTCTTCACTTAGCAGACCTGAACTTAAAAAAAGAAGCCATTAGCTGCTCACATCATGCGTAGAAACAATTTTCTTCATACACTGGAAACGTGCATTATTAATGACCGGTATTAATAGTTTCAGCTGGGTTTGCCTGCATAATGTAATGCAGTTCCTCAGCCACTCCCAGAATCTAATTATGCGGTCCTCAGGACTGGTTAGTGCTGAAAATCCAGCATCTATACATATCCTTTTTCCAGGGAATGGGATGGACCACAGTAACTTTTCAAGTTTACTTGAAAAGTTACTGTGGAAATGCCATTGTGGAGTAGTAACACCACCAGCTCCACCTTGGTCCACATTTCATAGGAATTTCTTTTTCCCCCATCATCATATTAGGAAAGAAACTACTTGATCAGTGACCTCAACCACTACTCCGAATGGTTGGTCTCCAATCTAGCTTGTGAACCCCACCCTTTTGACCATGCTCTTTTATGACCAAATCTATGTTATGGTACCTTGTGCCTTGATCCTGAAGAGAACCTGAACTGTGTAAGCTGTGGCCAGAAAGGCAAGAAGAGGACAAAAGGCAAGCCACCAGTTTTGCCTGTAGGCTCCCTGCTGCTGATCTTTTCCCTATTACTCGCATACCATGCCTTGTTCCACACTGTGTCTCTATGTGGCGGTGGTCATCTTGGTAGAGGCGAAGGCTTTTTTGACTCATTTCAGAGCTGCACCCCTGGCGGTGACTGATGAGCTCATGACTGATCAAGAAGCAGCAGGAGAGGTACATAAAGCAAATACAGAAAAAATAGCAAATCGATGCAAATAGAAAATACAAAAGTGGGCAACACAATAGTGACATCATCACCAAATCTCACTCCAATCTCATGAAAAGAGCAGTCAGAGGCAGCAGTGCCTTAGATCAGTGGTAGGCAACCATGGCTCTCCAGCTGTGCTGAAACTACAAATCCCAATATGCATTGCAAGCCACAGGCATGACTCCCAGAGGCAGAAGCATGATGGGATTTGTAGTTTCAGCACAGCTGGAGAGCCAAGGTTGCCTGCCCCTGCCTTAGATGATCACATACTGTAGATATACTATTATGAGGCTGTAGGCACAGGAAGTGCACTGCTATATTTCAGAAAGAATTCAAGACAAAATGTAGATTTTTCCAGCTGGGAATTAAAGGGCTTAATGCTGGATGTTTTTCAACCAGGATTTGAGGCAGGCTCTATCTAACTTGCTGCAGCTTCTAATGCATACAGTGAGAAGCTCACAGTGTGACGGGAAATCAGAGTAAGCTATTTGGGTGCAGAGTAGGAAGCCTGTACAACTGTGCAAGACTCAAGAGAAGGCTGGAAATCAGCTTAAATCCTTTCATTGCCAGAGTTCTTTTTTTTCTTTCCCTCTTTCATTTTTGTAAACCTTAGGAGTAAAAATTACTTAAAATCCTTAGAACATTTTATAAAAGCAGAGACCCTGCAGATTAGCGCGACTTTGTATCAAACCATATTTTCAATAAAAACTGCACTTAAATTAATTTCAGTGAACACAATATAGTACCCATTGTTTTGTGTAAAATATAAAAGCCAAGGTTGTGTTGAGTAAATGGATACCAAACATGGCAATCCCCAAAATTGCACACTCCCATAAAATGGCAAAAAACTATGGTGGCCAAATTTTTCGACAGGCGACTCTTTAAAAGCTTGTACAGGTCATCAATTTAAAGTTAACAGTGAATGAGGCTCTAGAAGGAATGTTCTTACTCCAGCTTAAACAGGGATATGTTACATGTGTGGCGCAATCGCCGTATTTTTACACAGGTGCACGCATTGCACAAGTTGTTTTTGTGTGTGTGTGTACACATGGGGACAAGGAGCTTTAATTTTTTTATTATTATTAAACTTTCACTTGACTTTACTCCTGTCACAAGGGGGATGGCAAGCCCCCCTCCCCTCCATGTGATACCACAGTGGAAAATATATGTTCTCTTTTAAGGAGACATCGGGGGTCCCAAATCACTTTCACAAGAAAGCCGACAGTTCGCTATTGGAATTTAAACAAACTCCCAGTTGCTATAGCGACCGGGAGTCTGCTTATGGGTCCCTGCTGCCAATGTAATCCTTCTGTCGCTTGCAGCAAAAGGGTTAAACGCCCAGGCTCAGCTGTGGTTCCAGACCTCACCAAAGGGCCGCACAAAATGTTCTGTATATGTAATGCAAGAGAGGACTGTCAAAGAATGCAGACATACTAGAAATAATGGTCGGAGACTGTGAACATACTGCAGGTTTGATTGGGACCTGGAGACCAGGTGCAGAAGATGGTGAGAGACTGGGGACATGTTACATGATGTTAGTAGAGGCCACTGCTATTACCCCTTTACAGATCAATGCTCCCACTGCTATTCCAAACTGCTGGGTTCCAAGGACTGCAAAACAAATACCAGAGGGCCACATGTGGACCTTGGGCCACTTGATTGGGCAAGAGGGACCTAGGGGCTTAAATGATGGCCCTTTCTTAGGTGCTGGAGTTTTTATACCTGAATGGTAATTGGGTGGTGAGTTTCTGAATCTCCAGTTTAGCTCTAATGAAACGTGTGTACTACACAGTAGGAAGACTGCAGTTTATTAGTGAGCACAAGCAGCCACATGCTTAAAAGTACTAAATGTTCTGACCCACAGTTCCAGTTTGTGGCATTGCTGCAACTAAGGTGTTGAATGTGTAGTACATCATGGCAATAGTTCATCCATGTTGGTAGCCTTGCACAGCTCCTGCACGTAAGCCTTGGCTGTTGTAATGGAGTTGTAAGTGATTTTAAAGTAGGGGTAGACAGTGAATTATTTTGTAATATTACCTATTCGGACATGCTTTTATATTTCTCCTTTCTTTTCTTTTTTTTGGGGTCTTTTTAGGGAAAAGTCCATCTGGAGCTGAAATTGAATGAGCTGATTACAGACAATGGATCTGTGCAGCAGCTTATGGTACAGTAAGTACATCTGGGCCTATGCAGTGAGTGGCATATTGTAACTCTGTGTTATGTTTCGTGGTCAGTGTAACAAGCTCTGAAAAGCCACCAGGACACTTCCTTTTTTTCCGTAACTTGCACAGAGAGGAAGCGTAGGCGGCTGCATAGAGTGTTTGAATAAATACAAATGACTGTTAACCTCTTCTCATCTGCCAAATATAAGAAGCCCATAAATTCACTGGATGAAAGCTTATTTGTTGTTTTTTTGTTAGCTGTATGCAAAGAGCCTTCTTGCCGTTGTATAAATTATGCTAGCTCTAATTTATTCATATCTCTTGCTGTTAAAAAAAAAAAAATCTATGATTAATACCTTACTGCTGTTAATTTAATTGCCTAGAAAATGTTTTAACCTGGTGTATAACTTGGCTGACTTCACTCCAAGAGTTAGGAGCTGCCTTTCATTCTGCAGAGTTATGCATCTGCTTCTATGGGTACTTTGGTTTTCATGGAAGTGTACATGATACAAGCAAAAATGTAACTTCAGGGCCAGCCTACTGTCACTTTAGAACTATGATATTCTCTAGATTATATTTTTTTTCTTATATAATAGCAACATATTCCTGCTACTTGACCAAGCATACAAATTATGGGTTTGCTTCTGTTTCCTCCCTTCATGCTATAAATATGTACAGTATTGAGTTATCAATATAAAAGGTATTCGCATAGCATCACTCCCTAACAAATGTACATTTCTTTATAAAACTGATAAAACCTGAAATGTTTCTCGGCATTATGAAATGTACCTTTTCATAACCTCAACTGTTTACTCTTACCCTTGTTCCATACCTTTCTATCAGGTGTGTCTTCAAAGTGCCTGCTAAATGTAGACCTTTCTAATTGCCCCTATATGTTTCCCTGAGTTAAATATTCTATCTCATTCATTGAGAGACACAGGAAGTCATTCACTGTTGGGTTATACTGCCCTGCCTACAGGAGAATTGGACAGGGATAAACAAAACAGTAAATTAGGCCAGCAACCAAGGTGCTGTTTTTAATTTCTTGCTCTTGTGGCCTCCCCCCCTGTATTCCGTCATTGCGAGTCAAATTACATTTTGGCCTAAAACACAGCAGTTAATCCAACTTTTGCTGGCGATTCTTCATAGCTCAGTCATTCTACTGCAGGTACTAGTAATTACTAGAAGTAGTGCTTGATCGCCAAATAGATGGAACAAACTAGTCCCTCTGGTGGTAATAAACTGTATAATCCTGTATAATCCTGAAGGATTGTGTGTGATTGGTTGCTATTACATGCTGCTTGTGTAGTTTACACCATATGAAGCCATCTATTCCATCTGTATAGCAATCTTTCATTAATCTTTGTGGGTAATTGCTAGTGATTTTTGTAGCACAACTGAGATACTAAAAATTGCCTGTGTAGCACTAACCATTAATACAGCTATCACAAAATTGTTTGCCATCATCAATGAACAATATGAAAACAATTACTGTAATAAAGGTTTGGAGAGTATTGAGACACTATAACAAGGCAATGTCTTTAGCCTTCTGTCAAGGCCTTATCTTAATTGGGGTACCTTAGTCCTTCAGCATTTATGGAATTCACAGTGCTGGTTTTCCTATTATATCTAAATTAAATAACTTTACAGCAACATTCCCATAGGAGAAAAGTATTGTTTGTTTGACCACAGCAGCAGTACAGTTTTTCTACCAGCAAGTGCAATGAAGTCCATTAGATTCCAGAAATATTGTGTTGCACTTACCCATTTTCTTTGACACTCATGGATGATAGTGACTGGAGAAATGACCTGTTTGTTTTTCAATGTTATACTTCAGCATTGTTGTCTCTTTACAGCGTATTGGAATGTGAGGGATTACCACTTGTGAATGGGCAGAGCTGTGATGCATACGCTGCTGTGTCTCTTGTTGGCCCTTCTAGGTAAATGTATACCTTGTTTTCCAAATAACATTTTAAAATAACATCTGTACTTAGTTATTTAGTATACAAGCCAAGGCAAATTGTACGAGCCAGGTGAATAATACATCTAAGAACTATATCCTGTGCAGAACTGGTTATTTTAATTTGTTGTCAATTAAAGCATTTCTCCAATGACGGTACAAGTTTACTATTCTACATTTGCTTGCTTATTGACGTTCAACATGACGTGTCACCTTAAAAAACAACGAATGGCAGCTTTGGTCTATTTTGAACGTGCTGCGTTCACTCTCATGTGTCCCTGTAATGTGATTATATTACTGAGAGAAGCTCCTGCCAAAAAACTCCTTTCTGTCTCAGTGACAAGTGCTCTAGGACAGGAGGTTGGGGCAAACTTCTACAGATAGAACCGCAATAAATCCTGACAAAGGTTCTAACCCTTTTCACTGGAGTTTCTTGCCAAGTCCTAGAGATAAATATGCCACTGCCCTGCCGCACATGCATTCTCTGTCTAGGAATGCATTCTGGAGCATTTGAGTTGTCCTAGTCTTTTTTGTTGAAAAACATGTATTGGTTATATTCACTCTACACTAGCCATAAACATCCTTTATTGTTTGTATGTTGCAAGGTCTACTTAAAGTACAATTCTAATTTAAAAACCATATAAAACACAACTGAAATCTCTGACTTTTTTTTTGTTTTACTTTTTATAGTCTCGTACTGCTGTATGTTATGATTTGTAACAAAATTTCACATAGAAATACTTTAAAATAGCGATTTATCTGAGTGCAAATACATTTCTGTTCTCACAGGCCAGTGCTCTATGGTGGCATAGATTAGTAATAGCCACACCTACCATCACACAGACATGTATTGTGTAGAAGGAACTGGGGAGAAGGAAAGGCCAAGTGTGCTAGCCAGTGAGGTCAAATTTGGGTGCTTGTTGGACTGCACAATCATGTTTAGATGCTGTACATGGAGGCGACACTGTAAAAATACACATTGTTTGTACAAGGTCCATCTGACTATCTGTTCATTGACCTTTGTTAAATCTAAGGGCTAAAGCATATTTTAATTCCTGGCATTTCCTGTTTTTAGGAACGACCAAAAGAAAACCAAAGTGAAGAAGAAAACCAGCAACCCCCAGTTCAATGAGAAGTTTTACTTTGAGGCAAGTTGAAACTGACTATATGTATATGTGTGTGTATTTTTATATACACTATATTGCCAAAAGTATTGGGGCGTCTGCCTTTACACGCACATGAACTTTAATGGCATCCCAGTCTTAGTCCGTAGGGTTCAATATTGAGTTGGCCCACCCTTTGCAGCTATAACAGCTTTGACTCTTCTGGGAACGCTGTCCACAAAGGTTTAGGAGAGGGTCTATGGGAATGTTTGACCGTTGCTCGGCCATGGAAACCCATTCCATGAAGCTCTCTACGCACTGTTGTTGTGCCAATCATGAGGGCCACACGAAGTTTGGAGGTCTGTAGCTATCGGCTCTGCAGACAGTTGGCGACTTGTACGCACTGTGCACTTCAGCATGCGCTAACCCCACTCTCTGTCAATTTAAGTGTCTTACCACGTCGTGGCTGAGTTGCTGTTGTTCCCAGATGCTTCCACTTTGTTATAATACCACTAACAGGTGACCGTGGAATATTTAGTAGCCAGGAAATGTCACGGATGGACTTATTGCACAGGTGACAACCTATCACGGTACCACGCTTGAATTCACTGAGCTCCTGAGAGCGACCCATTCTTTCACAAATGTTTGTAGAAGCGTCTGCATGCCTAGGTGCTTGATTTTATACACATGTGGCCATGGACATGATTGGAACACCTGAATCTAATGATTTGGAGGGGTGTCCCAATACTTTTAGCAATTGTGTGTGTGTGTGTGTGTACACACACTCTGTTCTCTGCTTTTAATAAGCTGTTTCTTTAAAAATTGGCAGTGTTGGGATATTTGGCTTTTTATACCAGCTTGAGAAACCAAACTGTGAGTTGCTATAATTTTTATACCAGCTTGCAAGATAAAACTTAAGCACAGAATGAAAATTCTCCTCCTTAGAATAAGATGGTGTATTCAGTGTCCCCCAGAGCGTACTGCTTTCAAAATATAAAAGGTTAGAATTCCTGTTTTGTTTCTCTGGGGATCTGTCGGATAGATTTACCCTCATGTCCTGTCCTGCTGACTACACAGGAAGTGAGGTAAAACCTACAAGAGGGACACAGAGAAAAAAAAACAAATCTGACAACGGTTCTAGCCTTTCCCTATTCTACCAAAAGTGGTGATAAAGTCAAAAGGTTTTTAAGCTATTTTAAATGCTGATTAAATCACTTACAATGGATGCTACTCTTTTGATATTTAAAAGTTTTAGTTTTCTGCAGAATCATCTGGTCCCTTGAACACTGGCCCTGATATCCTGTTTTAGGGTGGCTCCTTTCCTTGATGGGTCCTATGGAGCCACCCTTGTGTGTGCTTTTAAGCTGCGTGTGTCTCTACAAACACAAATAGAAAGGCAAGCCACTCCTCTGCTCCCTCTTCCCTTTTCCAAGCCAGTAGATGAACAGTTGCTAGAGTCTGCTCTGTTCCTTGTGATCTTGTACTGGACAGGAAGTTAAAGGAAGTAGAGTTGAGAGAGTTGGAGCTGTTTGGAAACATGATGATTAAGTGTTTGGGCAAAAATATAAAGAAAATACTTTACAGGCAATGTATGTTTGTTTGATCTGAATTCATTATTAAGAAGAAAGTTTGGGAGTTTAATACTTTGTCTACTTTTCTATCTGTGTTGCTGTTGGAGAGTTCCCCTCACTACTTATCTGCTAAAACAATGTCAGCAGCACAAGAAGTGACAGTAAGAGGCCTGGATAGAAGTAAAAACCTCACAAGAACTGTAATCCTTCCTAACTCTATCCCAACTTTATACACTTACACAAACATTTTCAATTATAATATGTGGAAACGTCCCTTGTGGCATGCATAAGTTTATGTAAAAAGTACCCACAACTGCAGAGAAACGAGACGCGTGGCCTCATTTTCATTCGGTTTTCCTCGTTAGTCTTGTGAATGGCCTTTTTTGGCCTGTTTTTTTCACTCTTATGAAATTTCCTGTGTTGTCAAATATATTCCCTACTGCACAACTTATTGTTTGTGACGTATGTCTCGTGGCCCTTTTTAATACATACTTATATTAAAGATTGTGTTTGCAGCTACCATATGAGCTTGAATAACTAAATGTGCCAAGCTCGGCATATTTAGTTATTCATTTTTTACGTATACATACTCAGTGGGTGTACATTCTAGAGCCTTGTAGCTCTTAGTTTGCTTATTGGTGCAGTTCAGTTTATATATATATATATATTATAATATTCTCTATCAAATGATCTTACTATACAGTATTAATAAATGTCTCTTCTTTTCCAGGTGACGAGGTCGAGCAGCTACACTAAGAAGTCCCAATTCCAAGTAGAGGAAGAAGATATAGAAAAACTCGAAGTGAGGTTCGTAGCTCAGAACTTAGTTTTTTATTTTTTTTTTAACTCTAGAACCATGCTTATAACAGCTGTGTTTGGGAAAGGTTTATACAAAGGGTTGTAATTGGGCTTTTTTTGCATTTCAGATTTAAAAAAAAATAATTTTAAAGCCGAGTTCCAATCAAACACAGATTAAATACATATATGAGCGCTGATTTACCTGCCAAAGGATCTGTGTTTCTGTCCATCCAGTGCTAAGATTTCAACAGCTCTCATACACAGCGCAGCCCTGTCTGTCAGTTTAGTAACATTTACAGGTCTGGTCCCTCCCCTAGCCTGTGATTGGACAGCTGTAGGAGAAGCAGCAGATAAATGAACTGATCTGTCAGCCACTCTTTGCTCTCCTTCTATCAGCATGTTTCTTGCCAACTGATTCGCTCATTGTGCAGTTTTTTTTCCCCCTCCCCCAGTCTGAGCACTGGTGCTCAGAGAGTGCAAAATATGCTGATGCCAAATCAAATTTGGGTCGTTACACTGCTTACATTTAAAAATGTGTTTTAAGGATGTAATGAATGCAGAGCTGCATTACTTGGTGTCTTTTATATCAACCCAGGATCACTGTATTTTAACTAAACGTTGCAGTTTCTGTGCAGTCAGATATGAGAATTTCTCAGTAGCTTGCAAATTAATAAATGGTACACAACTGTGCATTTAAGCCATGTTGGTTTCCCAAGGCACACACTTGTCCCCTGAAACTTCTAAATGAAGTTTTTTGTTTTTTTACCTCCTCTGTCTGTTAAATCCATTATACCCAAATTCTAAATAAAAGAATGACACTTCTCCTCCTTAGAATAAGATTGTGTATTCAGTGTCCCCCCAGAGCATACTGCTTTCAAAATATAAAAGGTATTCAGGTTAGAATTTCTGTTTTATTTCTCTCTGGGGATCTGTCAGATGGATTTAGCCTCATGTCCTGTCCTGCCGACCTACATTTTCACCAGACAGGAAGTGAGGTAAAACCTACAAGAGGGACACAGAGAAAAAAAAAAATCTGACAATAGTTCTAGCCTTTCCCTATTCTACCAAAAGTGATATTAAAGTCAAAAGGTTTTTAAGCTATTTCATATGCTGATGAAATCAGTTAGAAAGGATGCTGCTTCTTGATTTGTAGAAGTGTTAGTTTGCTGCAGAATCAGCTGGTCCCTGATCCCTGGCCCTGATGTCCTGTTTTAGGGGGGCTCCTTTCCCTAGCAGGGTCCCTAATGGAGTCAACCGTGTGTGTGCTAGTAACCTGTGTGTATCTCCAAATACACACAGGTACAGCAAGTCACTGCCCTCCCTCCTTCCTACCTTCTCCTCCTTCCTACCTTCTCCTCCTTCCTACCTTCTCCTTCTTTTTACCTTCTCCCTTCTCCTCCTTTCTACCTTCTCCCTTCTCCTCCTTTCTACCTTCTCCCTTCTCCTCCTTTCTACCTTCTCCCTTCTCCTCCTTTCTACCTTCTCCCTTCTCCTCCTTTCTTCCTTCTCCCTTCTCCTCCCTTCTCCTCCTTTCTACCTTCTCCCTTCTTCTCCCTTCTACCTTCTCCCTTCTCCTCCTTTCTACCTTCTCCCTTCTCCTCCTTTCTACCTTCTCCCTTCTCCTCCTTTCTACCTTCTCCCTTCTCCTCCTTTCTACCTTCTCCCTTCTCCTCCTTTCTACCTTCTCCCTTCTCCTCCTTTCTACCTTCTCCCTTCTCCTCCTTTCTACCTTCTCCCTTCTCCTCCTTTCTACCTTCTCCCTTCTCCTCCTTTCTACCTTCTCCCTTCTCCTCCTTTCTACCTTCTCCCTTCTCCTCCTTTCTACCTTCTCCCTTCTCCTCCTTTCTACCTTCTCCCTTCTCCTCCTTTCTACCTTCTCCCTTCTCCTCCTTTCTACCTTCTCCCTTCTCCTCCTTTCTACCTTCTCCCTTCTCCTCCTTTCTACCTTCTCCCTTCTCCTCCTTTCTACCTTCTCCCTTCTCCTCCTTTCTACCTTCTCCCTTCTCCTCCTTTCTACCTTCTCCCTTCTCCTCCTTTCTACCTTCTCCCTTCTCCTCCTTTCTACCTTCTCCCTTCTCCTCCTTTCTACCTTCTCCCTTCTCCTCCTTTCTACCTTCTCCCTTCTCCTCCTTTCTACCTTCTCCCTTCTCCTCCTTTCTACCTTCTCCCTTCTCCTCCTTTCTACCTTCTCCCTTCTCCTCCTTTCTACCTTCTCCCTTCTCCTCCTTTCTACCTTCTCCCTTCTCCTCCTTTCTACCTTCTCCCTTCTCCTCCTTTCTACCTTCTCCCTTCTCCTCCTTTCTACCTTCTCCCTTCTCCTCCTTTCTACCTTCTCCCTTCTCCTCCTTTCTACCTTCTCCCTTCTCCTCCTTTCTACCTTCTCCCTTCTCCTCCTTTCTACCTTCTCCCTTCTCCTCCTTTCTACCTTCTCCCTTCTCCTCCTTTCTACCTTCTCCCTTCTCCTCCTTTCTACCTTCTCCCTTCTCCTCCTTTCTACCTTCTCCCTTCTCCTCCTTTCTACCTTCTCCCTTCTCCTCCTTTCTACCTTCTCCCTTCTCCTCCTTTCTACCTTCTCCCTTCTCCTCCTTTCTACCTTCTCCCTTCTCCTCCTTTCTACCTTCTCCCTTCTCCTCCTTTCTACCTTCTCCCTTCTCCTCCTTTCTACCTTCTCCCTTCTCCTCCTTTCTACCTTCTCCCTTCTCCTCCTTTCTACCTTCTCCCTTCTCCTCCTTTCTACCTTCTCCCTTCTCCTCCTTTCTACCTTCTCCCTTCTCCTCCTTTCTACCTTCTCCCTTCTCCTCCTTTCTACCTTCTCCCTTCTCCTCCTTTCTACCTTCTCCCTTCTCCTCCTTTCTACCTTCTCCCTTCTCCTCCTTTCTACCTTCTCCCTTCTCCTCCTTTCTACCTTCTCCCTTCTCCTCCTTTCTACCTTCTCCCTTCTCCTCCTTTCTACCTTCTCCCTTCTCCTCCTTTCTACCTTCTCCCTTCTCCTCCTTTCTACCTTCTCCCTTCTCCTCCTTTCTACCTTCTCCCTTCTCCTCCTTTCTACCTTCTCCCTTCTCCTCCTTTCTACCTTCTCCCTTCTCCTCCTTTCTACCTTCTCCCTTCTCCTCCTTTCTACCTTCTCCCTTCTCCTCCTTTCTACCTTCTCCCTTCTCCTCCTTTCTACCTTCTCCCTTCTCCTCCTTTCTACCTTCTCCCTTCTCCTCCTTTCTACCTTCTCCCTTCTCCTCCTTTCTACCTTCTCCCTTCTCCTCCTTTCTACCTTCTCCCTTCTCCTCCTTTCTACCTTCTCCCTTCTCCTCCTTTCTACCTTCTCCCTTCTCCTCCTTTCTACCTTCTCCCTTCTCCTCCTTTCTACCTTCTCCCTTCTCCTCCTTTCTACCTTCTCCCTTCTCCTCCTTTCTACCTTCTCCCTTCTCCTCCTTTCTACCTTCTCCCTTCTCCTCCTTTCTACCTTCTCCCTTCTCCTCCTTTCTACCTTCTCCCTTCTCCTCCTTTCTACCTTCTCCCTTCTCCTCCTTTCTACCTTCTCCCTTCTCCTCCTTTCTACCTTCTCCCTTCTCCTCCTTTCTACCTTCTCCCTTCTCCTCCTTTCTACCTTCTCCCTTCTCCTCCTTTCTACCTTCTCCCTTCTCCTCCTTTCTACCTTCTCCCTTCTCCTCCTTTCTACCTTCTCCCTTCTCCTCCTTTCTACCTTCTCCCTTCTCCTCCTTTCTACCTTCTCCCTTCTCCTCCTTTCTACCTTCTCCCTTCTCCTCCTTTCTACCTTCTCCCTTCTCCTCCTTTCTACCTTCTCCCTTCTCCTCCTTTCTACCTTCTCCCTTCTCCTCCTTTCTACCTTCTCCCTTCTCCTCCTTTCTACCTTCTCCCTTCTCCTCCTTTCTACCTTCTCCCTTCTCCTCCTTTCTACCTTCTCCCTTCTCCTCCTTTCTACCTTCTCCCTTCTCCTCCTTTCTACCTTCTCCCTTCTCCTCCTTTCTACCTTCTCCCTTCTCCTCCTTTCTACCTTCTCCCTTCTCCTCCTTTCTACCTTCTCCCTTCTCCTCCTTTCTACCTTCTCCCTTCTCCTCCTTTCTACCTTCTCCCTTCTCCTCCTTTCTACCTTCTCCCTTCTCCTCCTTTCTACCTTCTCCCTTCTCCTCCTTTCTACCTTCTCCCTTCTCCTCCTTTCTACCTTCTCCCTTCTCCTCCTTTCTACCTTCTCCCTTCTCCTCCTTTCTACCTTCTCCCTTCTCCTCCTTTCTACCTTCTCCCTTCTCCTCCTTTCTACCTTCTCCCTTCTCCTCCTTTCTACCTTCTCCCTTCTCCTCCTTTCTACCTTCTCCCTTCTCCTCCTTTCTACCTTCTCCCTTCTCCTCCTTTCTACCTTCTCCCTTCTCCTCCTTTCTACCTTCTCCCTTCTCCTCCTTTCTACCTTCTCCCTTCTCCTCCTTCCTACCTTCTCCCTTCTCCTCCTTCCTACCTTCTCCCTTCTCCTCCTTCCTACCTTCTCCAAACTAGATAGCCAGACCTCCGAAACCTTTGGTGTAAAGGACACAGAAAGTGTTACCGTCTGGTTGCATATTATGTATTTATGGTTATTGGGGGGGAAAATCCACATAACAAGCAGCATACTGCCATTATTAATCCAAGTGTATTAAGGAAGAAGGTCCTCGTTGCCCATTGTAGCTATATTCTCCCTTTCATTTGTCCCATGCAGTGTGGAAGAATGAAATAAACACTGGGTTCATTTCTATGGGAAAAGCAAAAATGTCCCCAATCATTTTGGTCATTTTGGACATTACGCTCCCATCCAATAGTCTATGCAGCTTGTGCTTTGTATAATCTGTGGCTTGGATAATGATTCTACTTTCACGAAATGATTTTTCCACATATGAACAGAGATGTGTTGTATCTTTGTGCTAGATCCTTTTTAGTAGCGTTATTATGCATGTTCCTTATGCGTCATTCTTCTTGTCCTTTTTATGGTGTATATGCTGGTATTGTAGACAAGCGCTGGAGGGTAAGCAGTGATAACAGCATGTGTCTGCAGTTTTGATGCGTGTCTGCTCCTTTACTGCTATAGAGGTGATTTTATTTGCTGTGTGATCCCTGTAGCAGTAATGGGGGTTCCTCTTTTTCCTCTGACACTTGCTGTTTACCAGCGAGTGTAAGCGGGTTCACTGCATGTGTTTTTTATGTAGCATAGTTTGAGACTAGTGTCTAGGTGTGTGTGTGTGTATATGCTTTCTGTGTGTAGTGTCTTGTGCTTTGACACGTAACTGATAAAAGTCTGTTTTGACTTGAGCATAATTACCATTTTGGTTGTGTATCTTGAAAACTGCTTTGTAATGTGATCATGGAAGCTTGGCAGTCACATCACATCTATTGAGCAATCTCTTGTTCTGAGGTATGCGTGGGTGCCTGTCACAAGCAAGCTTTATTGTGCATGCTAATTTACACCAAGAAGGTTCCTGACACTAAGATAGTCTTGCTTCCTTATCAGTAAAGTACCAGCAACAGCTGGGAGTTGTTGGAAGGGGGTTCCCCCAACTAGTTTAACATTTCTGCTCCAATTTTATAATTTTTAATGGGAGTTGTGTCCAGGGATAGAGATTGATTCCTAATTGCATGTAATCGTATCGTATACGATCACATGCGGTGTAAGTGTCATCGTTTTGCTGCTTTCAAATGCAGCCGCTGTCACCTGATCATTAACTTGAATGGGTGACCGCTTCAGCTTGTAAACCGCAGGTTTGGGATTCCTGCTGCAGGAAATAGCAAGTTCTTGAAGCAGAAATCCCTAACCGCACCTGTACTATAGGTGTGAATGTAGCCTTAATGGCAGGGTGACCACGGCCGCATCGGTCAGTGGCAATTGGCATGTAATCGTACATGGAACAATTACCTGCTGTTCAGGATGAATGTTGTCTCTGGACCCAGAGTATGGAAAAAGGAATCGCCAGCACTCACAGGTTTGAATGCGTAAATTTCATGTGCATTTTTATTGACCATCCGTCACATGCCAACGTTTTGGGGCCAGACAGGGTCCCTGACATAAGGACAAATCATAATGACAAATGTCTATGTCTTTACAAAAGCACACATACAGTGATAATATAACAAAA